GCCGGGATGCTCTTAACCGCTCTGTGTCCCGGGAGGGCTCCTCTTTCCCCTGCGGCGTGGTGGCACGGTCAGCTTTGATCTGCCTCAGTCGGCTTTTCCAGCTCAGGGATGGGCCCAGACTGAGACACCTTGACAGAAATTTCTCTTTTGGGGAAATCGCACATCTTGTTGATCTCCAGCAGGTAGATTTCTCTCTGTCTTGCTCAGTTAATACCTCTGGGCCTTCGGTTGGGGAGGTAGTGCTAAGTAAAAATCCTGTTTCAGTATCTCCTGTCTGGCACAAAGGAACACTGCAGAGAATGTCTTTAACCCTTTGGGCAGGAATACGTCACTGTGAATGTCACATTTGCAAATAAATGAGGTTTTCAGCTCTTTAATAATGTATTGCAGCGTGCAAATGGACGCATGGAGAACCGCTCACGTGTTGATAAAGCCGCCTGCCCCCACTGTGCCCGTGCAGGGGCTCTGCTTTGGGCGGTGGTTCCCAGGGACATATCCACGAGAGATCGCAGCGTGGGTAGCCGTGGTGTAACTAAATCACCTGCAGCACTAACTGTGACTGGACTGTGATTAATTTTTATTTTTTCAGTGCCTTGAGACACAAGAAGCAAACTGCACAGCAAAAGACTGGGCTTTCTGAAAGATCAAGTGCCACATGTCTTTGAAACGTTTTCTTTATTATCATTTTGAGGGCAGATAAGTCAGACCTCTCCTTTGCTGATCACGGTGGCATCAGTTACGTATCTTGTTCATGTCATCCTGGGCCAACATCTCCTGTCTGGATGGTGCTTCACTTTTTGCGTCTTGCAAGTTGCAGGTTAGAGAAGTCTTTGAGTTTCGGAGCTGAAAGTTCACCTGGAGATTTGTGCTGAGGGAGCGGCGCAGGTTGGTTGCGGGTTTGCAGGTGCAGCCACGCCGTGTGCCAGCAGTGGGTCTGGCCAGGAGGACCCCAAGAAGTACGGGGTCTCTGGTGAGCCCAGCACATTCCTGCCACCGTGCGCTGTTCTGTGTGTGCCCATCCCCTTGGCAGGTCTTCATCTCCCCTGCTAGAACTGAGCCCCCGAGGCAAGCAAAAACCCCCCGAGGCTAAATACACCCCCAGCTCCTTGCAGCGTGGCATCGCTAACCCAAGCTGCGTTGTTTGGGGGTCCTAGGGAGAGTGGTTTGACAAATGCTGCTGTGGAAGATATTCCTGGGGAATGAAACAGGGATGGCGGGAGCAGCTGGTGGTCAGGTGTCAGGGGGTTGGCCGTGGGAAAGCTGATTTCATGTATGGCCGTGTCTGAGGGAAGCCTGGCGGGGGGACGGCGTAGCTGCTCCACGCAAAATGAATTGCAGCTCGATGAAACAACTCCTCGGACAGGGTTTAATTCCTTATTTATTGCCAGACTTGCAGGGGGGAGCCGGTGGGAGGAATTTTATGTCCCTTCAGCACAGCTCCGTATCCTGAAGCCATCAGCAGCGCTGCGGCAGGGGCTGAGGGAGGTTTTTCTCCATTTCTGTGGTGTGTGGCTGGGGGAGCTCGTTTGCTCTCTCCAGCTTGGTGCTTTCCATCCTGTATCTTGCCCAAGAAAACCAAGAGCTTCATCCTGCCAGCCCAGGGCCTTCAGCCCAGCCCCTTAGGAACCCAGGCTCGCTCTGAGGGTCCTGGCTGCCCTCGCTCGTGCTCAGAGC